CGTAAAAGGGGTGTAAAGGAAACATGATTGCCTATTTATATATATGATTTCAATTACAAACCTGAATGCTCTGAATATCCTAATTTTTCTGCTGAAAAGTTAAAAAGCGTAGCCTTTGCAGCAACAAACTTGTAAACGACATTTTGTTTCATTAATGAGTTCTCCCGTCCAAATAGTTCTCTACTGACAGTATAAAGAATACCAACATAATGAGTAATTTTCCCAGAAAACGCAAAAAATCGCAACATGAAATTGACAGATTGAACTCAAAACTCTTCATTTTACACATTTTTGATAGTTTTAACACGGCCAGATACGGCCAACATTTTAAAAGCATATTCAAATATATTATTTTTGAGAAAAATAAAATTAACTAAATGATATATCAGAAGTATGTATTTTTCTCTACAAAAAAAATTCCCTAAAAGAAAATAGTTGTAGATTTTTAAAGTACTTACTTTTCTTTTTATTCCCCATATTTTTGGTATTTTTTTAGATAATTATTAACTTAAATATGGTTGTTCGAAAATTGCTAAAAAAAAACAGAACACAAAATTGATTCCAATATTTCACTCACAGGTACGACTTTGACCACCTGCTAAGAAGTTGTCGTTCGTTTTTTACAAAAACAGAAGACACCGTTGTTTGGATTGAAGTTTTGTTTATCAAATGCCAAGGACAAACAATTACTTTTGTAAGTACGGAAAACGAATTTTGGCCCACGCCGGTTTTGAGGTCTAATGTTTTCTTATTTCGCTTACGCACCTCGAGACGCATTGCGTCGACGGCAGGATGGCACTGTAGGCACTTCAAAATATGGATTTACGGCTCATAAAATGGGAACGGAGTAATAACCGTTCTAGACCGTAAGTTGGTTTTATGATCGGTATGCGAAATACATGGCGACTGCTACCTGAAAAATAGCAAAGTTCTTCTTATATTTACCAGCAGACCCGTTCGGTATCTCAAATCCTTCCAGTGCTAATGAGAAAGGAAACACGATCGCTGGTTAGTTTGATTACGGTTTACAATCCATAGGGCCAACATATTGCTTCCATAAAAGATATGGACCATCTGGTTTAAGAAGGATGACCATCCAGATCACTTTCTTTATTTTTTTTTCGGCATTATTGGATCAGACGCATTGAGAATAGATTTCCTATGTTATCTTTCACTCAACAGTTTTCTTAGCTTAATTTAGTTGTAGTATTCCTCTCTTTCCCCCTACCTCATGCATACTTTCCGCCACCTTGGGAAGCTGGTATAAGAATCATTTATAACTTAGTGCCTGGACTTTTAATTTATAACTTCTTAGTCTACTCAAATCCATTTATCCGTCCTAAGCCTTATCAGACTGCTGTCTTTACCTATCTTGTGGATCTTCCTACACGAATAGAAACTTGTAGGTAAACACCCTTTAGGTTTGCTATGGGCTCATGACTAATCAATGCTGGGGTAATATGGCTGACTTGAAACTCTTATACGGAGTCATCCACTAAAACCTGCTCTTTTACTACGTCATGGTAACTCTTCTAAATAATCCTTTCACTCATAACCACCCCAGCGTTGTAATAGCGATATCACCATAACAACCAAGCAACCAATTGCTTGATCAATAACAAGGCGAGTTCATATAAGGTGGTGTTGCTAGAACAGCTGCTTTAATTCGCCTCGGCATACATATGTCAAAACTACATATGAATGAGTAGGAAGGTAAGAGTGTTGACAGTTTCTTTCCCTCTTCCTCCTTGAGCGAAAGAATACCTGACATTTACATTTACAAATACTTTGACATTTGTGTACTGAAAGCGAAAACAAAATACATGTTAGTTTTTGTTTTTGTACTACCACTACCACCTTATATGAATTCGCCTTGATCAATAAGTTCGGCAACTTCCACCTGCCTGTAGTTGAACTACAGAGTGCAAACAGAACAAAGAAAGTAAACAAGAATTTATTGACTTGATTTGAAATGTCTGGAAAGAAGCAAAAAGCATACGAAAAAGTTCAATTTTCTTAAGAGAAAAAATCATAAAAAACAGTTACGCAAAAAATCCACAAAAATGTCGCTTTTCGAAAATCCTGATAGCATACGCATGTTGCGCGATTTACTCACACCCCCCGAGGAGCGAGACAATTCTGACACCGACAACGATGACGAGCCAATCGCCAGACGCAACAATTTCAGTAAGTGTACGAAAGGCTGGAAAACCTGCTCGAAAAATAACCGTAAAATCCATAAAATTTTGTAAATGACATGGCAATTTCTGTAGCGCCCGCAAATATTGGCAGCAAATGCAGTGGAGAAGACAAACAAAAACAAGTGCGAACGGAAGCACTGGAGCAACCAGTGCCAACCAGCATCGAGGAGTGGCAAGAGCAGCAGGAGCGGCAGGATGCTGAGATTTTGGAGACACGCAAGCGACCGGAGTACAGCATGACCTATCGGCAAGCGGTGGGCACCGAGGACCTTTACCTGCAGGTACAGCCAGTATCTAGTGTGTTGCTCATATGAACTGTTTGCGGTGTTTGTTTTTATTTTTTGGGTTCTAGCTGCCACTACTATTTTTTGCCACCACATTCTTGTGTCTCTTTCGATGTATCTAATAATTCGTTTTTTCTGCTTCTTCTGCTCATCCGTTTTTTTCACCCGCTTTGTTTGCTGGTCACAGATGGGCAATCGCACTAATGCCACGGCCAGTTGTGAGGATTTGCTGCTGGATATACTGCTGCCCGACGAGACAACACCGGCGGATAAAATGGATTTGTCAATTACCGAAGATGAAGTGGATTTGGCGACGCCAATTTATCGCCTCAAATTGCCACTGCCGCACAAGGTGAACGTGGATCGTTGCAGGGCCAAGTATGTTGCTGAGCTGCGCAAACTCTGCCTGACATTGCGACTGCAACGTGAATTCGATTATGTGAACTTTTAGAAGCGACGCCAAAGCTAAGCTGCTGTGCCCGCAAGTTGCTTCAACCAACTTCATATCTACTGCGTCTACGAGCAGCTGCGCCAGCAAAAAAAAAATGTTGTATGCATTGCAGTGGATTTGTTTTTCGTTTTATTTTGTATGCAATAAATATTATTGAGGAGCTAATAAATGTGTGCATGTGTTCGTATGTATGTGTGTAAGTTGGTTGCACTACCTGTGTGGGTTTTGCAGCGGCTTACTGGGTGAAGGTAGCACTTTTGGAAGCTTATTTGATGCAAATGTGATTTAGGCTAAAGTTGGTTGGGTATTTCTTTGGTGCTGTGCAGCTGCGGTTGAGCCACTACGAATTCAAAGCGACCTTGCTCGCAATGCGGTGAAATAGACAACTGGTTTTGGCGCAAAAACAAATGGCATGCGAAGTGTAAATAATTGTGGGAATAAGGAAAGAGTAATTTGGGTGCTAAGTTGTTCGTTCGAAGGATTTCGTGCAGCTGTTAGCTTCAATTTATAATAAAGTATTCTGTTAGCGGAAAAAGTCAAGATTTCAAGCGTTCAATTGGAATCATTGTAGTGTTTGCGCCTTTTTATACTACAGAGGTCCGATACGCTAAACGTAATTGTTTTCCAGTAGACTGTTTAGACAGCATTTCTGATTATTAGGTTATGTTAAATAATCCTAGTCTAATTTTTAATGAGGATTTCAAATCTGTGATGCTGTGAAGGAGCTGAGGGAGATAGACGGCGGAAGGATATTTGTTGCTTGCTTAGAAAAAAATCTTAGTTGTTAACTTCAGTATTATCGTTTTTTTCCGCGCACATTTCTACAAATAAATATCTTTCTTTGTCAAACTCAGTCGCTTCAAAAACATTTAACAGCTTTCCAGCTAAAAATTGCAATTTTATACACAGAGCCCATGTATAAATATCTCTATATAAGTATGCATGCATGTATGTATGTATGTGTAAAAACACTCCTTTAACAACTAAATACAAAAAATAAAACACCAAAATTGCTCCTAAAGTAGAGTTGTGCCACAACCCTTGTCATACTCCTTAACATAAAATGTAATTTACATACATATGAAGCATACATTTAGGCGCGGTAACTGACATTTTACGAGCTAGCGCGTGTATTCACATTTCCCTTCATAATACTCGCGCATATGTGTGAGCTTTGACTTCACTAAAATTAAGCTTCGCGCACATACTGTATTTAAATATAGAAACAAATGTCGACTACAAGAATTATTACCATCCACCATGGTCGTAAAAACTGCGCTTATTACCCGTGACTGCATAAATATTTGCTGCGAGGATGAAATTTCAGCAGCTTAGCTAAAATTAAACCGGGCCAGTATAGCGTGGCTGTTAGCGTATTGCGAAACAGTAAAATGTATACAAAATAATATTAAAGCAACGCTAAATATGTTTTATTTTAAGTCAGTTAATCTGCGGTGTCGTATGGGCGTAAGTGGCATCAGCGTAATTTTGCTTTAAATGCGCCTTTAATCGGCTGAAAAATATCGGCAAAATTGTCGTTGTAAATGGCTTTGTAAGCTATGGTTAGACAATATGCTTACATACATCAAAAGGGTTTTTTTTTTGGAAATTTTAATAAGAAAGTTAACCTCCAACCTCATGTGTCTACAGTAATTGAGTTTAGGCTTTGACTGTGGCGTAGAACTCAACGTCCAAATAGCAATTAAGCGCTATTTTGCCATCATAGAACTCTAGAGGTGACTTTACCTACAAAATCAAAAAAATTCAATTTTTCTAAATCTACCTTTGGACCTGGCCTACAAAGGAATGTACTCAAACTCTGTTAAAGCTATGCTCCTGCTCCTCACTAAAGCAGTGCTCGACTGATTCCTGATCCTTTTATTTTTACAATTTCTGCTGTTGTAAGGCTCTGCTTTGTCTAGCTCATGACATGAGATTCATAAATCTCTCTGAGTTCTTCATCTTACAATTTTTAACAACTTCGATTAATTTAGTTTTGAAAGTAGTAAAAAAAAACCTACGAAGTAATGTATATAACACAACCACCAGAAAAGGTGTTTGTGGTTAGTTATTAAAAAGTTTACCCTTCTTAACTTTACCTTACGAGTAAAATAATAAGTTTTGACTACATTCGCATCTTCTCCAACTTGCAAGCTTTATTGTCCGCTATTTCACCTCAAAATCGACCGACACACCGCCATGCCGACCCACTTTTTACTGTGGAAAAAAAAACTTTTTTTGTATGGACTTTATTAAAATGTCAACAATCGAAATGTCCTGTCCTATAATAAGTACATGGCAGACTGAGTGGTGCATGGGACAGTGTTACACAAACATACACAACATAAACTAACAAAAAAAAACAGCACAAACTAGTTAAGTAAGTAAAGCAAAGTAGTACTTACTAATTTGTGGCTGGCCTACTGGCATGCAAGTATGTATGTACATTAGGGTGGTTCAAAAAAGCTGGAATTTTTAAGCTCTCATCCCCTAGGATTGTTCTACGTCGAAATAAATATGCCCCAATTTTTTTATTTTGAAATAAAAAACATTCAAAGCGCTCGAAGTTCTCCATGTATTTTATATGTATTTGAAAAATTAACTTTTCGTAGAAATGGTATAGTGTTCTTAAACACCAATATTTTTCGATCGGAACGCTCTGCTTCTCTACAGCAGATTCCCAATAAGAATACCCAATTATTTATTTAACCATTTTTTCATAGTAACTAGAATTTATAAGTACACCAAAAATGCAATGGGGCACCAATAAAAAATCGTTAGTATTAAAAATTGTTCAATAAACAATTGGGTATTATTATTGGGTATTCTCCTGAAGAGAACCAGAGTTTTCCGATCAAAAAATAATGATTTTCTATAATTCTATACCATTTCTACGAATAGTGTTTTTTCCCCCATATGAAATACCTGGAAAACTTGGAGCGCTTTGAGCGACTTCAAAATAAAAAATAGGGGTATATTTTTTCGGTATAGAACAATCCTAAGGGGTGTGGGCATTAAAACACCGCCTTTACCTAATTTGGGCCACCCTAATGTGCATACTTAGGTTGACTGCACTGCTCTGAGGTAATTTAAAAGTGGAACATAATGACAGTTACAATTCGTTAGCAAGTTGTTAATTTTAAACAGTATTGGGAGGTAATTTGTGCTCTTTTAATATTAAATCGATAGGCAGGATTATGTCTGTCAGTATGTGTCAGTTATTTACGAAGAATTTTGTCAGTTAATGTGGGTATGATCGAAACTAAATGTTATCAAAAAGTCTTCACAACCGAAACCGAAAGGAAACAAAACTCTCGAGAACATTCTCAGTGGGAATTATACAAGAACCAAATCCTGTAGAACGTTCTCAAAGAGAACGAAATGCGAACAATACTTTCGGGGACTTTTTTAAGAGAACAAAATGGGTACAAAAGTTTCCGGAACGTTTTAGCATAGAACAAAACGGGAACAAAAGTCTAAGAAACTTTCTCTCGAAGAAAAATTTATTTATTTATTTATTATTTATCAAAAACTTTCTGACAGAGAACGAAACGAGAACAAATCTCCTCTGAACTATTCGCGAGGAATTGAAGCGAGAACAAAATTTTTGTCACAGCGTTCCATTAGTTTGAATATTAAAATTAATCAAAAAAGAACTGAACTCAACGAAAGTCTTAAAACGCGAAGTTTACTTGCACAGAAAATGAAAAATTGTTCCATAAATAATGATAAACGATCTGGAAGTTGAAATGATCCAGCTTTCCTCTGGCTTAGAATTAACCATCGTGGTTCTCACTGAAATTATGTTTGATCTCAACACTCAGACACCCCTCTCATTCTTAACGTTAAGTTCTCAAAACGTTTGTTCTCGTTTTGTTCTCTAGCCGAACGTTCCGCAAACTCCTCCTCCTTGAAAACGTTCTCGATACTTTTGTTCTTGTTTGGTTCTCATTGGAAACGTTTCCAAAAGTTTTGTGTTTATACTGTTCTTCTTGAGAACGTTCCCGTGAGTTTTGTTCGTATTTTGTTCTTTACGGAAACATTCCCAAACCTTTTTTTTTATTCTGTTCCCGTTCAAACTGTTCTCAATACGTTTGATCCAGTTTGGATCTTATGTGGAAATGTTCTTGATACTACATTTTGTTCTCGGGCAGAAGTAAACCAAAACTGGAACGCGTTATCGGCCCCTGGTTTAAAGCTCTTCTTAAAGTGGCATTTTAATAAAAATGTTTGATTTATAAAGCAGTCAAAGTCTTCTATTTTTTATGAATTTGTGTATAAAAATATATTGTTGAAAAAAAAAATTAAAATTAATAAATTTAATTTAGTTACGGGATTTGGCCCGAACGGGGTCGAATATGGGCCTTAAGGAATTGCAGTATGCAGCTACCGTGTATGCCAAAGTCAATTGCTTTGTTTTGCTTCGTTTCTTCTTCATTCACAATAGACAACAGTTGGCCGTTTTGATCAGTGTTGTCGTCAAAAAAAGGCCTCTGATCGGAATTTAAGAATTAACTCTAGGACTTAATTCGAAGCAACTACAGTTAATTCCAGAGCTAATTCCGAATTATCGAGTTGATCCAGATCAACGCTGCTGTCTGTCTATGTTTTTATGTTATGTTATGCTATGTTATCTTATGCCACGTTATGTTATGTTAACAAAATAGTAATAAATTGAATACCCTTCAACGTCCTTGAGATTTTCACCATAACAGCTATCTTACTGCAATATTATCACCACATCCTCCTTGCATCTAACCAGCATCAAACGCATGACTTCCTCTAAGGAAGATAATAATAAATGTGGTGGTTGGTTGCATGCATATGCAGATGTGGAGCAGAAATTGCAAATTGCAGTTGGTAGGCACCACAGGAGCGTGAATAATGAGTTTACTTTAACAATAGCAGCAACATGCAAGTAGAAATGTATCTTAAATATACATACAGCCACACACACACACACACAAATGCCAAAGCTGCATAATCAATCGTCTGATTATACATACTGTACTTTTGTTGCATATACATTTATGCTTACTCAGCTACAATTGCTTGAATTCGAAAATTTGCATGCATTGC